ATTTATATGTGGATCCCACATTTCTCCCTTTATTATTATTATTATTATTATTTTTAATAAAATGCTGAAGTGGTAGGTAGATGCAAGATAAAGGTAGAAAACATAGTTTAGTGTTGTAAGAGAGCAATTGTAGATGATCAGGTGTGTGCCTGTAGACTATGTGTTAAGCCATGTAGCTTTTTTTTTAAAGAAAGATAATGTAATGAAATAGAAAGGGTAAGGGCCTTAGACCCAGATATACCTGGGTCTAAGCCAGCCTCCATCATTTGCTAGCTTAGCTATGGGAAAATTACAAACTGCTCTGAATTCCAGTTATTTGTATCACTGTTACTATTCACTTCACAGATGCTCAAAACTCTGCATGATCTGGCTCCACATCATTATTTCTGTAACCTTATCTTCTACTACTCTTCCCTTGATAAACTCTGCTCCAGCCCTACTGACTTCTTGCTGTTCTTTGAGCATGCAAACACCAATCTGCCTCAGGCCCTTTGTATTTGCTGCTCCTCATGTCAGAAAAATGTTTCCCCCTACATGACTTGTTCCCTCACCTCCTTTCTCATTCAGCTCTATTCTGAAATGTGACTTTGGCTTTAGTGATTAATGTCTACTCTGACAACCCTACTGAAAATTATAACCCCCCCCACCTGATACCACCTCACTCTCCTCCCTGCTTTATTTTTCTTTCTATCATTTGATATTTATCTATTTCCCTTCTCCAATGAGAGCAGCAATTTCAAGTCTATTTTTACATAGCTGTATCCTTACTACCTTGAACAATTCTGTCACATAAAAAGTGCTCAGTAATACCTGTTGGGTGAATGACTGATTGCAAAGTATCTGGCATAAAACTGACACCAAATAAATGCTAGTTTTTGTTATTTTTACCAAAGGCTTCTTTCTCTTCACATTCTCTGGCCAGCTACACCCAAGCTGACCTGCTTTCCTAGAGAACTTCTGATCTATAATAGAATTTTACTCCAGGAACTTAGTCTCCCCCAGCTAATCACATAGGATAACCAGAATATTAGAGTATTCATTTTAACAGTATGACTTCTGGGGACTTCATTTTCATTCTGCTCCTTTTTTCTTTGATGTATCTGGACTATGGTGGTGGTATCAAATGGTTTATATTGACCACTAGGCAAAAGCTCATAAAATTACCTTGAAAGTGTATTTTGAGGCACGTGAGAGACACAACTGAACATGAGGAAAAGTCACTGTATTGGGATTCTCCAGAGAAACAGAACCAATAGGATATTAATTAGTTATAGGGAATTGACTCACATGATTATAGAAGCTGACAAGTCCCTAGATCTTGACAAGCTAGAGGCCCAGGAGAGCCAATGGTTTAGTTTCAGTTTGAGTCCAAAGGCCTGAGAACCAGGAGAGTTGATGGTTTCCACTTCCAATCTGAAGGCTGGCAGGCGGGAGACCCGGGAAGAGCTGTTTGGGTTTGAGTCCAAAGGCAGGAAAAAAGCTAATGTCCCACTTTGAAGGCTAATAGGGTCAGCTCTTTTGTTTTATTCAAGCCTTCAAGTGATTGGATGAGGCCCACCCACGTTAGGGAGGGATAATCTGCTTTATTCAAGTCTACCAATTTCAATGTTAGTCATCCAAAAACCTCCTCACAGAAACATCAAGAATAATGTTTGACAAAACATTTGAGCACCCTGTGATGCAGTCAAGTTGACATGTAAAATGAACCATCACTCTGTCTTTGCTATTCACCATTAGTTCTTTACTGTCATGGTCTAGCTGAACAATATATTCAATAAAAACAGATCTAGGTCAGCTACCTTATGTTGGTAAACCCTGTTCAGTGTATGTGTGAAGGCTCTAATGCTGAAATTAGCACAGAGAGACAATTAACAAAATAAAACCAATATTGTAGTCAGTGCCTGGGGACCTACATTCTATTTATAAGAGTTCTGAACTTTAGGCACTTTTAAACCTTTCTGAAATTTACTTTCCTCTTCTGAAAATGAGGGGGTTGGACTAGATGATTTTTAAAGATCATGTTCAGCCTCAGGATCTTGGGTTCTTGATGAATGAATGGACTGAAGGGAAGTTCTATACACTAGCCAGCAGTGTTACCACAGGGACACATCTTTGAACTTATGTATATAGTGTCATCTGCATTTGCAACTGAATGACAAAAATAATTTGGCCTGGACTTTATTTTTTCCCAGTCAGCTAAGAGTAAACAGTTTATTCTAGGGAACATCATGTCTTCTTCATGAATTTCCTCATTCCAAGCCTTTTCTTGCCCAAGTTACCCTGCCCTTACATGGATTCCAAAATGGCTTCCTACTTCAGCTGATTATACTTTGATTAAAACTTATTTATGTTGCAATATTACCTCAGCCAGATTTTTAGGAATTTAATCTTGTCATTTCTATTTCTGAAGTGAAAGACTTAGCCCTGGTTAAGAGAAATGCCAACACAAGCAAACTGGTTAGAAAACGTGGGGCTCTGTGGTCCACAGAAATAACATTTCATTTAACCCAATGGATCACAAAGACTTGAATACCACTTTTGCTTTGTGGAGTGAGAAAAGAGAAGGTAAGAAAGAATGGGGCATAACTTTTCCACTGCTCTCCCCAGCCCTACAGTAAGAATGCAGGTGAAGAGCTAGGCCCGAAATCTAGAGTGGGAATGCAGGAGTGTCACCCAGAGGCCCCAGGAAACAGACACCCCTGGGGCCTGTGCACCCCTTCCTGCCTCTTTTCATCCACCTTTGTTCCCCCACCCCCACCCCCACCTCTCCCCAAGGTCCTTCAATATGTTTTGTGTTTTCTGCCATAATAATAATTTTTTAGTTTGAGTTTCAGGTGGTAACTTTCCTTAATCATTATTTTTTTTTAGACTATATCCATGGCTCTCCTGTATTTTAAAGAGAGTCTGATTGCTAAAAGGGAGTCAGGGTACAAAAAAAAGTATTATATTGAAAAGTCTGAAAATTGGCTGGAAAGTTTACACACTGTATTAACAATGTTTGTCTCCAATATTTTAATTTTCATCTACATTTCTTTTTTTCTCCTCCCCAATCGTGAGCAGGTGTTATTTTGTAAACTGGAAAAATCAGTATTAAGAAAATTTACAAATCCATTTTATTTTAAGCAAATGCGCTTTAATGAACTCTAGCACATGAAACCTTTTGGGAAAAATGTCAAGAACAAGTTTGCATTTGAGAGGTATCACACATCCTTTTTCACAGAGCTGTGGCCCAAGAATTGTGAGAAATCTTGACCCCTTGAATAGGCTTATCTCATTTTGGATGAGAGATTGTTTTATCACATTAAGAATATTACTAACTTTGTTCCTTTTTTTTGCTTTACATAACTTCTTAGAAACTAAATATTGTAGTAAGTGAGACTTAGTTTGCAAGTTATTTTCCTTATTAGAAAAGACCCAGTTTCCTGAAATAATAAATCAATTACCAGGAAAATTCAGAACACATTATTCCTCACATTACTGTAACATAATCATACTCCTGCTTTCACTCATTTATTATAAAATTATCTAAGTGCCCAGGATTTCCAATGATTTCAGATGTTTCAGTGGATACCAAATTTCTGATGATTATAATAACAATGACATCTGATTACAACAGTAACATGTGCTTAGTGTTTTGTCAATTGCAGAGCATTTGTATACATATTCCCAAATGATCCACAATATTGTTTTATCCAGATAAGGGACCTGATTCTGAGCAGTTAAGAGGCCAGCCCGAAGTTAGCAATGCATGATGTTCTAAAAAAAGATCATGCACTTTAGAGTTACACAGACTTGAATTCAAAACTGAGGTCACTCATATACTAACTGGCAAATGAAACATTTATCCACTCAGGCAGCCATTTTCTCCCTCTTTCCTAAGGATGTCTTGAGATAATGAAAGTAGAATTCCTACAGGAGAATGCCGGGCACATAGCAATGCTCAGTGATGCTATGTGTCTCTTTACAAACTGTGTCCTGGGTGCAGAGCATTATTTGGGAAACGGACCACGTGGTTATGACTGTCTAGGCTTTCTATTCTTTCTTATTTATCATGCTAAAGGGTTGGATATTTTTATGCTCTTACAGACCAGGACTGCGGATGCAGTTGGAGCCAGGGCTTCTGTTCTCAGTGCCTCACTCAGTGCCTGGCATTAATTCAGCCCTCAATACATGTTTGCTGTGTGAATTACAGAGCTGTTGAATGAAGGTACCTGTTTGGCTTCTGGACACAGCATCCGAAACCTCCCAGGGGCCTTGGCCCTCACTTACGAGTCAGCTTGGGTTGGGTTAAGTGCACGGTGGCCTGTGAAGCATGTCCTTCTCCCTGCCTGCCTGCTCTATGCCTTTCCAGTACAGACCAGGTCATCTCTGCTCTCCCTTCCATCTCTGTCATTTTGAATGGGATTCTGGTGACAGCAGCCCTCCTCCCTGTGCTGCAGGGATGGCAGCCCCTGACGTGCCCTAGCCAAGGTGGCGGACATGGGGTATTTAAAAACTCCACTAGAGCAGCCACGAGCAGGAACTGGAAGGGATTTCTGTGGATATGTTTTCTCATCCAAGCCTGGTGCCC